GCGCCACCATTGAGAGGGACGGACAGGCGGAGGAGTTGCGCAAATTTGGAGCTCTTGTATTGGCCAACGCTTGCGGTCCTTGTATTGGCCAATGGGATCGTAAGGATGTGAAGAAAGGCGAGAAGAATACAATCGTCTCGTCCTATAACCGCAACTTCACGGGTCGTAATGACGCCAATCCGGCCACTCATGCGTTCGTCACTTCACCCGAATTGGTGACCGCACTCGCGATCGCCGGTCGACTAGACTTTAATCCGCTTAAAGACGAACTGACCGGCGCTGACGGCAAGAAGTTTAAACTGGATGCGCCCACCGGTGACGAGTTGCCGAGCCGTGGCTTCGATCCGGGACAGGACACATATCAGGCGCCACCCGTTGACGGAAAGGGCATTTCTGTGGACGTCGACCCCAAGAGTAAACGCTTACAACTGTTGGCCCCGTTTGACAAGTTTGATGGAAAGGACTTAACAGATATGGTTGTCCTCATCAAAGTGAAGGGCAAGTGTACGACAGATCACATCTCAATGGCCGGACCGTGGCTTAAATATAGGGGTCATTTGGACAACATCTCCAACAATATGTTTATTGGGTTTGTTTTTATGATTTTTAATACATTTAGACAAACATAATAATAATTGTTTTATCAATGATTAGAGCGATTAATATTGAGAATAATGAGGCGAATAAAGTGAAGAATCAATTGACCGGTGAATGGGGTGCAGTGCCCGACACGGCCCGGGCCTACAAAGCAAAGGGTGTCAAATGGGTTACCGTTGGTGACGAGAATTACGGTGAGGGCAGCAGTCGAGAGCACGCGGCTCTCGAGCCCAGACATCTCGGCGGACGAGCTATTATTGTCAAGAGTTTTGCCAGAATTCACGGTATTATTATTATTGTGCGATTATATATGGTTTGAATTATATTTTAATTATTATAAAAAATTCATGTCAATTAGAAACTAATCTGAAAAAGCAGGGAATGCTTCCGTTGACGTTCTCTAACCCTAAAGATTACGACAAAATCCAACCGACGGACAGAATATCATTACTCGATCTGAAGAGTATCGCTCCCGGAAAGGTATTCATACATTTGAACACATCTAGTATTTTAATTGTCTGTTGTATTAATACATTATAATCCCTGAAAAGGCCGTCAAATGCGAAATTAAACATAAGGACGGCTCGAAAGACGTGATTGAATTGAAGCACACATTGAATGATCTACAGATCGGATGGTTTAAAGCCGGCTCTGCTCTCAACAGAATGGCTGAAGTGAAGAAATAATGCACTTTTTTGTTTGTTTTTTGTTGGTTTTTAGCATTTATTCAAATAGTATATACAGTTTATAAGAAATTAATAGATTTTTATTTATTAATTCGCGCCGAATATGAATGTAATTCGCGTTTAAATTTATGCCTAAATAATAATATCTTACGAAATACTGGATTTGAATTTACAAGTAATGGATTTCAAATTTTATTTCAAACATTCAATAAAATTTTAATTGGAATTCAAAATCTTTTTTGTTTTATAAATAAAACTTAATCTAAATTTATTTGATATTTTTAAAAGAGAGAGAGAGAGAGCATTGTTTTTAGTATTGTCCGGTCTCTTATTGCAATAAACTATGATGACAATTACTAACAGAGTATACAAAACTAAACTTTGGCTAATAAAATATGCACAACTAATTTTACCATGATTATATTAATTGTTAGGAATACATTTATAAATGATGACATAGAATTGGAACAATGTTTATTAAACTACAAAACACTATAATAAGTTTGCATGTAAAGTTGACATGGTGTCTATTCTGGAAATGGACAAATTCTATTGTGGAAGGATAGCATTCCGTTGAGTCTATCAATTGGAAACATTTGGGAAATAAAATATAAGTTTTAAAGTTACATTATTTCATAAATAGAAAACAAGTATAATTCACATTCTGTGTCTACTTTAAGTTATTGTGATAAACATGTATTGCATTCACAAATATAGAATCTTTGAACGCAAAATAGGAGAAAAAATATTTAATTATAACATTAATTAAACACATATTTATCCACATTTTTCAGTCCATTCATTTGTTGTAAAATTTCACACAATATGTATAATTGCGAGTTTATAAGGCATGTAAATCGGGTGAAAATTATAATTATTAATATGCAATTACTATCATTCTTCTCAATCATAAGTTTGGTTTAAAGCAAAAAACTTTATGGGTTCTGTTTAATTGACTATTATTTATTAATTAATAAATGTGCATGTTATAAATCATAATTAGTTAAACATGTGTAGAATATTATACAGTATATTTATTTCAATTCAATTAAGTTAGTAGAATTCTATACAAAATCAGATCTTAAAAACATAACACTGTTATAATATGAGTGCAATATTTGAATTAATGTGTCATAATTTCCCAAATGGTTTATCACTTTCTTGTGCCTATAAAATAAGATAAAACCTTAACAGAATTATGTGCATGATCAAAGTGTTTTGTAACTTTAGGGAAGTGAAAAAGTTGTCCACCCGACCCGAACCCGATACTTAAATATGAAACGAGTCTGCTTTGGGCTTTGCAACAGCGGATGATTTATACTGCTTTATTTATACTGATTTATAATATGCTTATGCTTTGCCTGTAATATTTGATTTAAGTTTTAAGGGTTGGGTTTTATTTGTCGTTCTCTACTTTACTCTTGAATTATTTGATTATCAGGTCAGATGCCGAGTGCCAGAGGGCATATGGCGCTACTATAAGGGTCCGGCATATTATTTAAGCATTATTTAAATGTCACACAAGTTTATGACGGAAAAGTTAATGAAAAGCCCGTATATGTAAGTGAAGGCTACGAATATGATATATCAATACTATATCGATGAATTTTGATTGCCAATCATCTCAATAAAAAGTTTTATAAATTACATTTATTATTATAACTTATAATTTGTTGGCAAATCATATAATACACATTAATATTTTTATAAAATTAAGTCCATTATTAATTCGCAGAATATTTTGATTCATAGATTTTTCCGATAAAATGTAAATGAAGTCAAAGTAATTATAAGTTATAGAATATTTCAATAGAATTTGGTTACAAAATTCAAATATGATTTGACTAATTGCAAAATTACTACAATTAATTTGCTATAAAAGTCATTTATGCAGAATTGTATTAAAATAATATTACACTTTGTATATTAATTAATTAATATAACTAATTCTGATTTATAATCATTTATAATGAGTTTTAATAAACCTGACAAAAGTTCATTTTGCTTCAAAACTTGTTATATTAATATATGGTAAATACAAGCAAAACAACTCAATTAAGTTATGGAAAAAATGTTTAAATGATTGAATAAAAAACACATCAATATTTATTCAATCGTTCAAATCATCAAAAGCTTTAATACGGTATTTAAAAGTAAATGTTTGGATGAATGAGAAAAATAATAAAATTGTTATTTCATGAAAAGTGTGAGGAAAACACAATTTGATGGATGAGTTTATTGAATGGTAAATCTCGGGACAAATATACTGCACTATAGTTATACATAGCGTTTACCTTATCCTAAGTCACAGAATCGTATGACTCACTCAATACTGGGAGAGAAAGAAAATCCTAATTAATAAAACTGTTTTCACTATTTTTTGGTATCAAATAAAGTGCGTCCAAACGCTGTACTCAAACAGTAGATTGTATTTTCATTTTCATTATTATATTCCGATTTTAATATGTATTTCTCATATACTGTACTGTATGTGAAGGAGAGAGTGAAAAGCCTATCGCGGGGTATGTTTGAGCTCATGTGCGAGACTCAGACCACTGGTATTGATAGCTAGACAGCACACACACAGGTGTGGCCTAACGGTGTGACGGATACGTACACTATATCTAATGCCATACGAATGACATATTCTGTGTGCCCACGAAATGCAGGTGTGATCTGATCCGAAGCCCAAGACTTGGCTCTCTATAGCGCCAGAAGCTGTACTCCTATACTGTACTCCTGCGCCGCCACTCGACGTATAATTATTGTCATAAATATTTTTCGCCATCGGATGCAGAACTTGATCAGAGAAAACCTATTAAACATATATACAGTATATATTCTGTCCTTATTTTGCGCTGCAATCAGTTATATAACCGTATTATTTGTTAATCGTTCACATCTATTCAGTTTGTTTTTATCGCTACAAAAATTAGTTTTATTTATTTGGCATTCCTTACGGAATCCAATATCTTGTCATCAATGAGTTGATACAAAAATATATTTCTATTGATTGTTAAAACGATTTTAAGAGTAAATCTTTGCTCCGAAAGCTTTTCAACATCTGAACGCCATATTTGCTCTCCATTTGCATTCATCTCTCCATAAATGTCATAAAAAGGTAAGAATATTCTCGTCCTTTAATTTACTCATCGAATGGATAGTACATTGAATTTTATATGAATGTACAAATATAATGAACAACATTATGAATATAATCAAAAATATAATTAAACTGGATGACTTAGAATCTATGTGATAATTATAATACTGTATTAATACTAAAAGTATGATTTAAATGAGAAGTTTCCAGTTTTGCTTAATTGCTTTTATGCCTAAATTCTTGTAATTTTAAAAATGACTGCAAATACGACACAGAATAATATTAAATGAACCCAAAAATGTCATTAAGTTTTTTTTTTGCAAACATACATCATATTTGAATTTAATTTTTATCATGACATCAGATATGCTCTCATTTTTATATGTATTTGTCTCCAACTCAATGAAGTGACATTCAGTGATCATATTTTTTTTAATAAATATTAATATATTTTATAAAACGAAGGTTAACTGTTTTTATACTATTAATTTATGTCCTTAACATTTTTATAAATATTTATAATTTATTAACTTTTGACTCTCTTGACCACCAGGCATAGCATGAAACTAATATATGAATTTGTTGTATTGATATACACTGTACAACACTATGCATACAGTTTCCCAGAGGTATGGCCTCATAATTGGTTCACTCAATAATAATTGCGATCAATTTATTCTGATTGTTATTGTATATTATTAAACGCGTGTCTACTCTATCGGTGGTGTCCTAACTGTGCGTTTATTTTATGCACTAAAATATGCTATAACTTAATGGTAGAGCGAATTGTTTAGTATTTTATACACATTGTATATATGGGAGAGAGAAAGAGAGTAATACTACCTTTCCATGTCTTCACGCACCGGTAGCTAATGCTTGCAAATAGTGTGTGAGTGAGAGTAAGAGAGAGAGAGAGAGAGAGAGAGAGAGAGAGATCGTGCGAATGGAGTGTTTGATTATTTGCATTGCAATGAATGCATACATTTCTATCGGTGCGGGTGTTTGGCTGTATCGCAGAGATCAACGTCTGAGCGATTCTTTACAGACCATTCACTCTATTGCTGACCACATGTTATATAGAAAATTCATGTTTTTAATTATATTCTTGTATTAATATTATATTAAAAAAAAAATTTAAACAATATTCTTGTTGCAATTTTTTACGTATCATTTTTCGATTATAAAAAAATGTTTTTATCTATAATTAATAATTTATATACGGTATTATATAAGGCCATATACTATTTATGAATATTAACTTATTTAATTAATTAAGCACCATTTTTGTATCGTTTATTGTGCTTATTTTTCATTGCAATCAATGATGAAATTCTCGTTTAATTATTTTAGCAAAACAATTCATATTTCACTATTTATTTCAATTACGACTATAAGAATTGCTTTAAAAACAAATTATATATTTATTTTACATAAATTACTATTAAATCAAATTTTATAATTAGTATTTTCAATCAATAACAGATAAAATAAATGTATTAATTAAATATTATTTCAATACTCTTTGTGGCACTTATAGTAATACAGGTAATGAATGAATATGCGATTCAGTAGTGAATTATTGAATGCTTTATCCATAAAAATATTACACAACAAATATGAAATAATAAGTGGCTTTTGGGTGCAAAAAATGAGAGACTGTGTGCAATATTTCCCATAAGTTATCTATAAATTATTATTTAAAATGTGAGATCACTTATAGATCGGACCATTCATTCATCAAAAGGCGCGAATCGGTAGCGCCGGCCGACTAAATATGTTTTCACATAATAGTGTATTATATTTATAATAGCGATAATTTTTTACAAAAATAGATATTAATTATTAAATATATGCCATAATATATTCCGGTATATGATAAATACTTATAATTGAATAAATTAATTAATTCGTGGTAAAAACATAGCAAATAACACGAATAAAAAACATTGCAATCAATGATGAAATTCTCGTCTAATTATTTTAGCAAAACAATTCATATTTCACTATTTATTTCAATTACGACTATAAGAATTGCTTTAAAACAAATTATGTATTTAT